TAAATCCTACTTTTTTTTTTTTTTTTTTTTTTTCATCATAATATATTATACCCACATCGGTTGGTAGCGTCGGAAAAAGTTGCGAAATGTGTTTTTTTTTGTCTATTTTCGAAGCGTCGGCTTTGTTTGAAAAAATGTTTTAGAATATATTTTTTTCGTCGATTAGCGCATGTGCGGCGCGAAACTTATTATACTCGAACTCGAGTCGTTTGGCGTTGCTAATCGTATATATATGCTTTTGCCTCGGGGAAAAAGAAAAAAAAATAAACAAATTTTACCGCGGTCTTCGATTCATCACAATTCGGGGTGTTAATTGATTTGACTATTTTTTGTCTTTTTCTTTCGCGTTCCGTGCTAATGCGTGGAAATTTAGAAAATCTGGTGACGTTGATTCAAATAATCGTGCTAAAGTTGTAAAAAAAAAAAAAAAATGATGAGCTCGGAAGTTGCGGATCCGAGGCTATAACAAAACGAGGTCATCAAAAGTGCTTGCTGCTTTTCGTGTGTATATATATACAACGGATGTGTGGGATTTTTTGTTTTGTCAAGGCAGCCGAGGAGAGTATGATGTAACTTGCGACTTTGACTTTCAAGTCTAATGATTATGTTGTTAACAAAAAATAAAATAAAATTGAATACAGGATATTGTTGATGCATAATATATTTGGCGAGTAGGTCAGAGTACAATATTCCACGTAAGGACAAATGAGACACGATGTATCGTAAAACGTGATTTCTTTAGAAAAGTTTACTCTCGATCGACGCACGTTCGTGTATATTAATTTGTAGTTATATACATACACGTACGGCAGGTTTGTTTTTTGCTTTGTCTTTTTATCCAAGCGACTCATTCTACTACTCCAAGTGACGCGTGTATAAATGATGTACAGCCAAAAACATAAACATATACCATTAAATTGCCAAGCCAATATGTGTGCAAATGTGTCCTCGTACATGAGCTAAAATCTCGGAGCCTCGATTAACTGTTTCTTGTAGAACAAAACATTTGCACGATCATATAATAATCAAAGAAAAAGTGATTTATAATGTGATGATTGTCAATTTAAAAAAAAATTTTTTTTTTACCCCTTCAAAGATGGCTTTTAACAAAAGTCCTTGAGATCGCGAAAAGAAAAAAGAAAATAATTTGCACAACTATATTAATCACACGTACATATAGGCACAAGTGCTGATGTAGCCGATTGCATTTTAGTTCCCCTCATTGTTTTTTTTTCTTCTCTCCACTTAGTCGCGAAACAGTCCTCGTGTCCCCTTCCACTGCAGCGGTGGACTTTGCTGTATGTCTATATACACCCCTTTGTTGGCATCACCAGTTACACACGCTCGACGAGAGCATATATTATCTTTGCGACTTTTATATGAAATGCTTACATATAAGCTGCAGAAAACCAAGTTCTAAATCCAGTAGTCATTCGGACGCCGAGTTGGTCATCGGCCCTGACAAAGTTGCTCGCAAACACCTACCACTGCACGTACCCGAGACATGTCAATCGACGAGGTACTTACCCACAATCACCAACATTTCTAACTTGTTTTGTATTATTTTTCATTTTAGCTGCGCCAGTGCAGGATTTACAAAGTTTCGTATCGCTTGTTTTTTATTTTATTTTTTTATATTTGTGGGTTTCGTAGAAGCCATTCCATGAAAAACGGATTATTTCAGAGGCTGAACGAGAATTTTCTCATAGTAACGTAACAGGTAGTGTGACGGGCTTTTAGTTTTTATTTTGGCAAAGACTGACTTTCTCAATTTGCGCGCTTACGGCACTAGCTTTTTTCGTCATGGAAAAATTTGAAAAATTTTCTACAATAGGTACATTGAATTTCTTCAGAATACAAAAACTTTCCGATTTCAACATCCAAACTTAATTGTCTGCATTTTCCGTGGGAGTGTTAAATTTTTCAGATGTGGGTCCCGCAGGTTAAACACCATCAAAGTCTTAGATACATTTTTTTTTTTTTTCGTTGTTTCCGTCAGTAACTTTAAAATGTTGTACCGCAGAAAAAATTAAAAATACGTGTTTTTCTTCGAGGCGTTGTAAAAGTATAAATTTTCGAGTGAGGCACGAGAGCCCGTAAAGTTATTTTGGCCGTTTTTTTTCATCTAAAACTACAGCAATGCTTTTTTTATGATCTAATCTCGTTTGTTTGTTGTACCTTCCGCAGAAAAACGACTTTGATTATTCAAAAAAAGGATTGGTATCCCTTTCCACGACTGAGGCATGAAATAGACCGTTTTTGGTAGAATGGCCCGTATATAAGACAGCTTACGTAAGCTGCTCTGCACTTTCGGATGGAACGATTGTCTTGCTTCAAAGTATGCTTAACTATGTAGTTTTGGTAAACCAAACATGATGTCAAATTTTCCAACGATTACGTAAAACAGTGATGGTATACCTCTATACGCGCTGACTAGCGAAATCATCGGCACATGGCTCTCATGATAGTTACATTATTATTTTCCCTACAGTATAAAGTTACTCGCATCACAAAAATAAAACGCTATCGTTGAGCCGTGCTCGTGCATATTAGCACAATATTCATTGTGTAATTGATGAGATACAAACGTTACGATCGTGTTTTTTTTATTCTCTTTCTCGAGTGCATGCGGTAAAACGAGAACGGGAACTCTCGTACATAAAAATAAACAAAGAAATAACATGGATTCAACGCCACGCGTGACTTGGAAGATAAATCTCTGAGCCTCACGCGAAATTTTTAACATAGTCGATAATTTTTTTGTTTTCTCTGCTAAGTATACTTTTCTTTGTACGCTTACGTGCACGGTATCGTAGGATAAAACACAACGGGCCCGTTGGCAATATTCATATATTCGTCGTTGCATCGCCCCAGAGTGTGTTCATTTAAATTCACTTACTAAAGATATCGAAAATCTACTTCGAGTTTCACGCCGTAATGGGTTAATGGGTGTGTTTAAATAATGGTGAAAAAAAAAAAAAAAGAATTCGTCTTACTGAACTGAAAGAAAAGGTCAAGCCGCAGGTGAAGTCGACACGATGATAAACTGCATGTATAATTAGCGGCTGAACGAAAATAACCATTTTTTTCGGAAGTACAAAGCTTATCTGAAAGCTCGTGCGTTATAATAACCGTAGGTAACGATCGGTTAATTACATACGGTGGAATTTATGATATTTTTCCGCTGTAGAAATTCGAAGCCGCGGCCGAGGCTGTGAAAAACCTGACGAAACGGCCGTCGAACGAAGAACTTCTCGAGCTCTACGCTCTTTTCAAGCAAGCGACCATTGGTGACGTTAATACTGGTAAGTTTCGACGTGTAAGTGCGTGTATATTTTTTTTTTTTTTTTTTTTTTTTTTTTTTTTTTTTTTNTTTCATCATAATATATTATACCCACATCGGTTGGTAGCGTCGGAAAAAGTTGCGAAATGTGTTTTTTTTTGTCTATTTTCGAAGCGTCGGCTTTGTTTGAAAAAATGTTTTAGAATATATTTTTTTCGTCGATTAGCGCATGTGCGGCGCGAAACTTATTATACTCGAACTCGAGTCGTTTGGCGTTGCTAATCGTATATATATGCTTTTGCCTCGGGGAAAAAGAAAAAAAAATAAACAAATTTTACCGCGGTCTTCGATTCATCACAATTCGGGGTGTTAATTGATTTGACTATTTTTTGTCTTTTTCTTTCGCGTTCCGTGCTAATGCGTGGAAATTTAGAAAATCTGGTGACGTTGATTCAAATAATCGTGCTAAAGTTGTAAAAAAAAAATTTTTAATCAATCTTTTCTAAAATAAAAAAAAACTGTATTACTGTATAATGTTTATTTTATTTTTTTGCTCCTGAAAAAAAAAAAAAAAAAAACAGGCAAGCCAGGGATATTTGATCAGAAAGGAAGGGCAAAGTGGGAGTTCTGGAACAGCAAGAAGGGCATGAGTAAGGACGCCGCCAAAGAAGCGTACATCGAATACGTCGACAAACTCGTCGAGAAGTACAAGGACTGAAGACGGTGCTATTATAAGTATATATAGCCCTACTCGCACTGGTAGTGCTAAATCCTACTTTTTTTTTTTTTTTTTTTTTTTTTTCACCGATACTATGCGAGAAGCTGCATTTAGAGGAATTATGCTGCTATTGACGCGCATATTGAACTTTATCAAAGCGACGGAGAGAACCAAAATTTGAAAAGCACGTTTCTACGTTGCTTGCCAAAAATGAATGAAAATTACGTTTATCAATAGGTAAATTAAGAATGACATTAATTTTCCTCGAATTTATTCTTATACACGGCCACTCTTCTTAGCGCATACACTTTTATAGTGTGCCTCTGTAGGGAAATCCTATCAGACGGACTAAGCTGATGAAAGAGGACTCATGTTCGCAGCCTATACAGGATAGTGTGGCATGCAAACGTACGTTTCAAACTTTGGTCCTCTCCTCTAGATCTCAATTTTTTTTTTTTCTTTTGGAGATGTGCGCATGTGTATGTGCACAAATTACGCATACCTATATATAGTCATGTAAGCGGTTTTTGTTACCTTGTAAAATAATTTTTTAAGAATGTTAATTCCTTTTTTTTGTTGATGAAATAAACGTTTATTTTAATTTATATTGATTCGTCCAACGGTGAGATCCTTTGATTGTGTAACACTGAGGGTAAAATATACATAGTCCGTGCGCGTTACCAAAATGTACTTACTGTTGAAAAATATTCCCGAAAAAATGAGCAAGAAACACCTTCCTGTGGAATGTTATCTGCATCATGAATTCGTTGCAACAAACATGTAAAACTAGTTGCTCTGCCGATCGTTATACTGCCGAAAACTCTCGGTTGCACATTTAAATAATACAGCAGTGGCAAAACATTTTTTTTTTTTTTTTTTTTACTTTTATCATTTATTCAAGCGTCATTTTTTACAATAGTCATTTTATTTATTAAATACTTTTTCGAAAAGCATCACATTTTTTGTTAAAAAATAATCTTTAGATCCCTTTAAA